GGCAATATTCAAATGTTTACCACAAGCATCTACAAAAGCAAGCAAGCGGTGATTTAAAATAACGCACAATTACGGCAGTTACTACTGCTGGTATTTACAACAAGCTGTTAATATCTATAGTTACTAATGCTTAAGGCGGTATTATGGCAGGCGGTCGGTGCAGCAGGTATATTCAGTGGAGTACAAGCAAGACACAAGTGCAGGAGGTCAGTCCAGGTATATATGACTGTCTAATCGCGAGCGTGCTATATCTTTGGATTATCCTAATGTCCCTTGTTAGGGCTGAGTGACTACGTGGGTCGGACGGAACGGCTAATACATTGCATCCCGAAGCACTTCATGAGATTTCAACCTAAGATCATGGACTTAAAACCTCACTTGTGCCACGATGCCTATACCTGGTAAAGCACCAACCTAAGATCATGAACTTAAGACCTTACTGGTAATTTAAACTATGGCTGAGATAGGATTTCAATTTAAGATCATGGACTTAAGATCCTATCTTTACGTCTACAATAAATAATGACAACCGTGTATTCCCGATGTTAATCTAACTATATGTGTAGTACTGAGGCTTTTAGTTGACTAACTCGATTCTTATGGTAAACTGTCCCTTGAATTGACTAGACCAAAGATATGCGTGAGTATTTTAAACGTATGAAGTTAATTTAGATGAAAGTGATAGGGTATCCCATCGACTTCGAGCCTGTCTATTTTACAACTTATAGTGAGTGAGTACGGTTGTCGAACGGATTGGATAATACATTACAGCGCGGGGCACTGAGATTTCAAGCTAAGGTCATGGACTTAAAGAGCTCACATATGCCGTGTCGCATGTACCGGGTAAAGTCATAACTTAAGATCATGGACATAAGATCTTACTGGTATTTTAGTAAACTATGACTAAGATGGGATTCCAACCTAAGATCATGGACTTAGAGTCGTATCCTTACGTCTACAATAAATAATGATAACCGAATATTCCCGATGCTCGTCGTTGAATAAATAATCCGAGTTTACTGGTGAAACGTGAGGTTTCTCGAATATCTCTGGCCGATCGGAATCGTAGGTGTTCGTAGGCAATTGTCGGACAAGATAATACAGCAGTAAATTCGGACATAAACGGTAAATCACGAAAATACAGATAAAAACAATAAAACTGTCAAAGTAATTCATACCACTACCTGGTTGCGGCGCAGCACACTGGATATCTGGAGCTGCATGCTGCTGAGTTGAGCACTGACTGGAGAACTCTCTCTTTTAGTCGGCGTGTTTTAATTTATACTCAAATTCTGGCGAAAATAATGGCATGGATCTGCGCGACTCGCGAAGTTGTCGGTGCTGTCCGTTTCATACGTTATTTAAGCTAGCTCGGTGCACCATACTGAAATAAATTCCCTGCGTTAATTAATGTAAACAAATGTTTATAAAATATTCCAAGGCTGGGAATCGCTTTCTCATAATTGTAAAACTATATATCCGAAAAGAAATAATTTAAAACAGCCATGTACTAATATTTGAAATAAATCAACTAATAACTTATCCGGCAAATTATTATTAAAACAAATAGAAACATATTTCTTTTCCATGAATAAATGATTTCAACTTAATTTGAAATTAAACTACTTCCCTCTTACTTGATTAAGTACAAACACAGTAATCGATATATCATTAGGATAAGAAAACAACCTAAGATTACCCTGAAAAAAGACCGGTTTGAAATAATTATATTTCAGAAATAATTGTTATTCCAAATACTCGACTTATAAATTCTACATTGGTTTAAAACGGTTTTAAAATAAATATTAACGCAAGTTATCGTATACAGGGTGTACCAAAGTGAACGAAACACCTACTTAGGTCTGAAAATTATTAACGGAAAAATAACGTCGTTACAAATGTTAAAATAAACTACCTTTATTAGATGAGTTATTAATCAGAACAAACCAACAAAAGATTATTACTAATTGGTACGAGAAAGACATTAGTTCTGGAAGACTTATCAACTACCACTCTCAACATCCCTTCAGACAAAAATTTAATATGAAAAATCGAATTTTAAAATTGAGTGACCCTTAATTCCATGATCAAAATATGGAAATTTTTAAACAAAAATTGCGACAATAGCAAATATGTGAAGAACATATTTGCCATTTGTATTTGTTGTAATTAATTTTATTTAAAATGGTACTCATACTGTGATAATCCTCTTTCATTGTTACAGAATGGGCAACTGATATAGATGGTTTTAGATTTTCATTATGTAGTAATACAGCTTTTAAACTGTATTTGGAGGAATCTATGATTAAGCGCCACTTAGAAGGGGAATGCTCGATATTAAGTTCCTGCATTAAACAATCCATATCAATACACGCGCATAGTGAATTTTCCATATTATAAAATGCGGAAAATATTGCATTTCTTTTTCTAAAAGTCGTAATCTTTGTTTCGTAAGCCAGTAAGTTCCACTCCTTAAGTTGGGAACCAAGAAGTTCTGTTTGTTGTTCTGACAGCCCCAAGTTACGTACCAAATTATTCAGTTAATTTTGAACAATTAAGTGATGATCATCAAAACTTTCTGGAATATATAAAGCGTCGGCACACTGGTCTCGGCTGTCTGAAGAGTCGTTACTATTTCCATTACCCCCAAAACAATATTTTGCCAATCTAAAGGCGCAGTTGGCACTGGTAAGTCTGATGCATTGTGAGGAACAGATCTTAGGGCTGATGGAAAATTCGAATATTTGATTTTTTGTTTTTCTTTTTTTGGAATATCCCTCAGTTCTTGTTACACAAAAATAGCAATCATCGAAATGATTGGTGGGTTCTCGCCATACCAGTAGAACCGCAAAAGGCATGCTTTCTCTTTTCCATTTTATCCACTGCACACGCTACAACTTAAACAAAAAACGTAAGGAGCCCATTGCTTATCTTGATCTCCGACTAAAACATCAAAATATTGAAAATACGCCTTTTTCACATTTTCAGATAATGGCCTCGCTTGTGACCTCGCAAGGAATTTTTCATAAATGTAACGAAACTTGTCAGGTGCGGTTTTGCAACTTCGGCGCGTTTCACTGAACACTTTTGTCGTAACAGAGTTATGTGAACAAACGAAAATATAATTGGGCACTTAGAAGGTCAAAACAAGACTGATACTGAAAATGTCCCACTTTACTTTAACTTGCTCTTCTAAAATTGACGACCCATCATAAAATTTATTACCTGGCAATATAATAGGGTCTATGTATTTACATAAAAATGGTATTAGGACTTGTTGGATATTTTTTTCAGTTAATCGGAAGGTATTAACAATATAAAAACAGTAGTATGAATTATGTTATAAAAATTGTGTCGGACAGTGTAATTGAAATTACAGGCAGTAGGACCTATTGAAAATCAAAACCCAGCGAACAAACCTCCTAAATTTGTAAACTATTGTAATTAGTCTGCTTGTTACTTAAACTTCAATTTAACAGCATTATGAGGGAGTAACAGTATACTGTTGTTTATCTTGAAACTGTTATTTTTACTACATTCAAACGTTTTAAAATGCAGGAAAACAAAAGACGTATACCATCCGTAATTTGAACTCATTAATTATGCAATTTGTTCTACTTTAGTAATTAAAGGAAGTGTACAAAAGTATTTTCCTGGCCATCCTTACATTGCCCAGTTGAACGACTTTTCCCGATTGCCATCTCTTGTAGGTGTTAAGTGTTAATTATATAATATAGGGTTAATAGGAGTTGTTACAGTTTCTTGTTTTTTAGTTATTGTTTAATATACAACCGGTGATGGGCTAAAGCACATTCCGAGAAGACTAACAACAGAAATTTTAATTTGAGTCTATCAGTCTGTCTTAAAATATATACACATTGTGCATAAAGGAATAAATTCATTATCTCGCGATATTAAAATATTTCAAAAAAATCCTTGGACCCGTCGATTTTTATTTTTTATTACGCATCTTTTGTTGCACTTATATTGATTGACGTCATCACTGTTCGAGTTATACAAACTAGGCTAAATTCCGAGTAATTCAACGGCGTCGCAGAGAACGAACCCGTATTACGTATTGAGTACACCTGTAACATACATACGGATGTTGCATTGTATCAAGTACGTAAATGATGACCGCACGGCGAAAATTAATTCCCATTCGGAAAGAGATACAAAAAGAATGGATAGTACTAGACGAGGCGGTAGACGAAATGACGGACGCAACGCAATCATGTGGCAAATGTGAGCACGAATTCTAGATCGTGGTAGACCGTCGCGTGCATTTTTAGTAACTAGTAGAAGAGTTGAAGCTGTAAATGCGGAAACTGTACGAAATCTAGCTGTAACATCGTTGAAAGCAAAGGGTATTACTAGTTTACAAGTGTTAATACTAGTGACCGATCTAGTACAGGATATGCTTGAAGGTGGCTAGTTTCAAAAACTGTCTTTCCACATTTAATACATGTAACATGTATTTCGTAGCAGAGAAAATTTTAAAAAAAATACGCAGGTGTAGTAGACGCGCTCATTGTAAATACAAAACAAATTTCGTGTAAGCAACTAAACTCTCATGGGGGACATGGTTGGTGGCAATTTTCTATTATCACAAGTATTTTAATGATGTAAAAACTTTTGTGTTTCGTGTAAATCCTGGTGACTAACGAACCATATCTGAGGCTCAGCAGTTATTAAACAATCAAGTTGTTGAGGACGATCTACACGTTACATATGCAACTATATTACAACTATAATGTATTGGATAGTATCCACAAATTAGAAAGTTCTTCCTTATTTTGTTAAAAATAGTGTTTTGTTGACATGTTTTCTTAACTGCCTCTCAAGTCACCGAAGTAACTCCCAGAAGATCCTAGGATTTTGTGTTGAGTGAAGAAAGACGAGGTCCTGCAGTTTATTGTGGAGTCCAAACCACATCTAGGGCATCGACAGTTACCTCACCCATCCTAATCCAAAACAAATTACAAATAAAATTTCTAGCTTGCTAGGGGATGGATTCGAACCATCGATATGAGTAAATAGCTATAAGCGCTTTACCCACTCTGCTACCATGCCTCCTAGCATACTCTCTTAAACTACTTGATACTGTACAAACTTTGACAAATGTATCCGGTATGCGGGTTACTAAGAGATTTAGTGACATTTTACAAAAAAGTCCAGGAACAATTATGTGATCTTAATCGGCGCGGCGTATCAGTAAGAAACATCTTTTAGCTAATCATTTACAACTTTTTTTTTAAGTTTGCAAATATCTCCATCGTCTATGTTGAACGATCATCTTCGCTGTACACAAATGTGTTTATACATCGAAGGAGACGTTTCTAGGAAGAAAATATAGAAACTGTGTTGCTCATGCAAATGTTCTCACGTGTTCTCTCTGATCGTTTGTCGTCTGTACAGGAGAGTTGAAACTATATTATAGTTTCAACTCTCCTGATTGTAAATATTTACAATTATCACAATAACCACGGCGACTAAATAAGTGCTCTACAGTTGGTTATTTACATACAGTGTATCCGTAAAGTTTGGAATAAATTCATTATTTCTTAAAGCAAAAATATTTAGAAAAAATCCTCGGATACGATGATTCTTAATTTCAATTTCATACATTATCTTCTATTTTTTTTGCTTTTGACGTCATCACTGTTTCCGTTATGACGTCATCGATATATTTTATTAAATGAAACACTCTGTATGTTTCTCCATTTTTAGATTCTGCCTCAACAGCTGATTCCAAATATGTATTACACTTAGGGTCTAAAGTTGAAAATTTGAAGATACGGCCATTAAAAAAAAAGTAAAATAAACACCTTTTTTATAAATTTTTGAAGTACGCTAGTTTTTGTTTGTTTTATTTTTGTATTATCATTGTCATCTTTGACAGTGAATCACTTAATAATACGTTACCTCAGTAGTGGTTTCTCAATAATTGTTGTATTATTTTAATTTATAACATGAGTGTATCTGTAATACAGAGAATTGAAATTTTTACGATGATGATGGGGTATGGTGATAGGATGCGAACTCAACAAGAAGTATGTAATTCATTTACAGAATATCCAGAACGACCCATAAGAAGATACAAAAGGAAAACCACTGACAGGAAGCCAGTCACACCTTTATGGCTTTCACTTGGTTGGCTCTATATTAGAGCATCGATCAAGCATCGCACACGCGGGCAACTATAGCAATCTGCGTGGTATTTCCGACCCAGGAGAATATATAAGTTCTTTCTCCAATAAATTTTAAAAAATATTGATTGACCAAATTTTAAATTATATAAATTAGGCAATCAATCAACCAACTAACGTCACTATTTTAATTTTACTTAAATACTCTACACCAATTAAGGATCTTCATTTTTTTATGTGCTAAACATGTTATATGTAATAAATTTACATATTTGTATGCGTTTCTTAAGCGCACTGCAGATGCCTTTGGTTAACTGCGGGAAGCGGATATTGCCGCAAGCGGTTACTGCAGCCGTTCTGACGACATGTATAGCGAGCGCCGCGGCCACAGTGAAAGAGTTAAAATTGTGCTTTTGCAAAAATATCTGTGTACGATACGATGTATGTACGAACCTGGAATCTACCATTTACTCGCGGTCTTTATTCATAACGTAGAAATTTACCATTATGTGCCTACCACAAATTTTATTTGGTTATCATTGTTATCAGTAATAGTAGTTCCTGTTTTTTTAGATAGAGTTTATTATAATTTATGGCAGATATGTTATCCACATATCGTTCAACGTCACTATGTTTATATTTCAATTACCCCGCTTGACCCCACGTTTATCAACAGTTTTGTGGGTTTTAATTCCTTGTGTTATTTCTCGAATGTCTTTTATACGGTAACGGGACGGCTGAGTCCCTCCATTTACAGCATCTCATTCATTTGTTTTGTTCTCTCAGCCTGCTGTGTGGTGAGCGTGTTGTTTGCACCATTCACTGTGAAGCACGCTTGAGTGCTGCTGTTTGTCTTTTGTTTATCCTGAATACGATCAATTGATTTTTTTTACATGCCTTCAGTGGCGTTTGCAGAACCGGATATGAGTTTCTGTGGTAAGTGTTTTTTTTTTTGTTTTTTTTTTTACGTTCTTGCAATTTTTTTGAAGACTGTGGCGGTTTTCCCAATTTGACTGTTTTTGTCAGTTCGCAGTTATAACAAGGGATCAGCTTAATAAATATGTTTATCCTTTTTACCGATGGAAAAAGAACATTTATATAAATTTGGTTTATGCTCGTATAGTACCGAATAACATTTTTTTTGTATCCTTATACATAATAAACTTTATAGCAAATATGTTTTCTGACAGCAACACTGAGAAAAGAAAAATATCTGTTTATGAAAGAACTATATATATAAGTATTTTTTTATGATTATTACAATTAAAAAATTGGTTTCGATAAAATTATAAATAATTTGTTCATTGGTGCCTATATTACAAAATTGTCGAACAAAAAAAACTTATATTGTAAATATTTCGGAAACGAATAATTGCCCGTGTTGTAGAGCACTGTTCTAATTTAAAGATTAGTTTTTTTTTTACTCTTGCTACATTATTATTGAAAATATGATGCACAGAGTGTTCTAAGGTAGATTGAAATTATCTGTTAAATAGAAAAAATCGATTTCTCATTGTTAAGGTAAATTTTCAAGATAAATTCATTTAAAGTTTAGAAAAGTGTACTAATTTTTATTATTTTTCACTTTTATAAAACATTTACCGCTATTATTATCATGAATTTGTTTAAAAATGCCAGAAGTTCATTTAGATATCACTACCGTTTTTAAGGTACACCCAAGTTGATTTTTGGTGAATTTTGGATATATTTTGCAACTTTTTTTATATATAAATATTTTTTCAAACGATTTAAAATGTTTTACAACATTGTATTATTATTTGCGAAGATATTACGTATTTTAGCCAAAAACCTTATTTTTTTATAATAAAAACAACTACCCCCTTTAGCTAGTATTACGAAGAACTAAATTACATGATATAATTCATAGCATTTTATAACAACTAAATAATGGAAAAATTAAAATTAGTTTATAATATATTACAATTTTTCTTTACAAATCCATCTTTCGCTCTGGGTCAAATCAGTACAACTCGTACTAAGTTTTTCGAACTTGCTAAGTGTTAAAGGTATTATTATTATGTACGTAATAAAATATTGAGTCCCAATACTACGCCATTGCGTTAGCGAAGAATTGAGGCAGCTCTCTGCACCACTATACGGAATGTTTTTGCATAATATCTAAAGAATATTTCTTCAACTATGATAGCAAACAGTTTAAAAAAATAGCTGCATAGCCCATCTTATATTAAAAGATAGAACTCCGATTAGTCTTATTTTTTTTTAATGAACCAATAAATCATTTATTAAATAATTTCGGGTCAAATCCAGGCCGGACCAACTCGAAATGCAGGTGTTGCCATCATTCGAAAGGAATGTAAAACTGTGGGTTCCGTGTATTTGCGATGTGAGCACGTTAAAGATCCCTACTCCCATGACAAATTGGGGGTTTTGCAAACTTCCCAGGTTAGTGGTGCCAGTGTTTACATATGCACTAATTGGCTTACCTCTTGGCCTTGGTAGCGGACATAGGTCGACATTAAATAAATGATAAAAAAAAATAATAATATTAGTCTGTTATTAGAAGTTATGTGAATGGATGGGAAGCTTTAAATTACGAATTGGGTGTCGCGACAGCCTTAAATCCTCCAGGAATTTAAAAGTTTGGTGAAAATGCGCTATATTATATAAAATTATTTGATAAGGTTGGATTTAATTATTTTTAATATTAGTAATACTTTTTTGCTGTAGAGGCAAAGAAGAATAAAATATAAGTAAAAACCTGTTATTGTATTTTTCCATTCATTGCTAAATCCTCGCATGAGGGGAACAATTTATTAATTAGATCACCAGAATAGGTGATGATAACCTTTTGCAGCAGTTTGCGATTTATTTCCGATTACTAATTTTTTGTTCATAGAACCAGTTACAGTGGTCGTTGAATGGTACAAGAGTATATATTAAAACAGCGAAATCTAAATAAAATTTAATAAGAAGTACATAGGGGACCCAGATCGGAACCTTGGGGAAATCATAATTTTTTAATGAGTGGAGCAAAGTTAAGAGTATACTAAACGTTATGTTTGTTTAAAGGAATATATTTTATTTAAACTAAGATAGCGTTTTTGACGATCTGTTTCCTCGAAATCCAATTAAGTGCGATTTAATACTTTCTCACATCTGGCCTAATAGATTTTTTTTACTTAAAATTTTACTCTTATGAAGACGAAAAGGCTATTTTGAGAACCACACAATGATTTAAAAAAATGGTATTAATGAAAGTTTTTGATATTAAGACGTTTGTATGTAAAAACGTAAATATATATCATACGTTCTTTAAAATTGGACTATTTTAATCAAAATTTTTTTAAAATAGATCAAATATTAATTACCGTAGATATTCTATAATTTTATCCACATCAGTTGGATTTAAACGAACACTCCTCCGTATATACAGAGTAAAAACAAAATAACTATATTTGGCTTGAAAAAAATATAAGGATTAGTAATGTTAGTAAATGCAGAACATGTCGGTATGTGCATGCTTATTAACATTTAAATATGGTATCTTGTATTTTCACAATACATAATAAGAAAAAGTAATAGTATTAGAAAAATTTTTATAAAAGTTTTATATGGCTAGATATAATATACATAGAATTAACAACTCCGTATCATATACCAGTCAGCAGACACTGTCTAAATGTTGCTTGGATGATGCTTGTCCTTATCCTGATTTTGCAACAACAAATCACAGTTAATAACACAAGGAAGCAGATGCAATAATTTGTTGTCTTGCATCCATGATTACGATTCAGTACTGATGATAAGACAAAGTTTCCGTATTGTTTTAACGAACCTATGCGTCACAAATCTAAAAGGATCACGCACCGTGTTGACATCCTTAATTCGCCAGAAGGCGATACCTTGCGAACCGTGTTTCAGTTCCCTGGTTCGCCAAACCACGACCCAT